AATCTTAGCTGTGCTTTAAACAGGCAGAATTCAGTGTATCTGCCAGTGCCATATTATACTCAGGGAGCACATGATGCAACACTACAACCATCAGGGATGTCTTTACCATAGAACCTAAGTTCTTGGGTCCTCTCTAACTTCACCCTAAATACCTAGGTGTGAACTCCAAAACCTGTTTTGAGTGCTCTCCTGGCCCTGGTAGCACTCTTCCCTGCAGAGCTGCCTTTTTAATATGAAATGCTCCTACAGCTTCCCTACATCTGCATTATGAAGGTTTGACAGTGCCCGCCCTAGTAGTTCAGCCTGTGCTACAACATCCCTGAGGTATTCCTGAATCATCTGACTGGATAAAGTGAAGTGAGAACATGCCCAACATCCAGCATGAGGCCTCTGCTTAAACCACACAATAGTTCAGTGATAGCAGACTCAGTTCTAATGTAAACCAAATTTTCTTCTCTTGTCTGCTGTAGGGAGTTTGATCTTATGGACCAGGGAGTTTGATCTTATTCAGTGGACCAGGAGTCGCAGCCCTCTTGCATGACTGTGTGATAGTCCCTCAGTGCTCTTGTCCTGCACCTTTCACAGAAGAGACAGAAAACGCTCAGCCCAACACTTGCTGTTTCGTGCACTGTTGGCATGGATTGATAAAATCTTTTGCTTGGAAAAAAACTGGTTGTCTTGTGAGGAATCCCTCTGGGTTTCTGTAAGACGGAAATAAATCCCGTAGTGCGTAACTGCAGTAGGATATTTTGGGCAGGATTTAAAGTACATTCCTGCCTTCAGCATTTCCTGTGAACACTACACTAAAAAAACTCCACATTTTGAAACGCATGTGAGTGTCCTAGGTGAGCCCTTCCGGAAGCTGATCATTAAAACGCAATTGTCTAATGAACACTGATGTCATTGCTATACACTTGTGGAGAGCTAGTTGTAAACACTGAGTGGCTCAGCTGAGAAACCAGCTTCCTGTAGATTAATTGTGACAGTGATGTATGTAATATGTAAATAGAACTAATCAGAGATGCTGGCCATCTAACCATGGGGCAGGCAGGAAATGAATACAGCTGAGAACTTTGCAAAGTCAATTTCTTGTTTTGACCTTTCAAAAGACGAAATAATTTAATTTAGCACAGATGTAAACATTTTTCACAGCACAAGTTCTGCTGAAACTACAGAGATTCCCAGGCCTGCACCAAACTTGAGTTTTCAATCACGGATGCCTTACCGAATTCGTCTCACGCCCCTGGCTGACAAGACCTACAGAACCCAAATGCAAAGCTTATGTTCCCATTGTCAGTGATCCATATCAGAAGCAAATGCAATTTTGTTTCCTTCCTTCTAAACAGCTCCAGCAAAAGAGTGTTTTATGATGTGAACTATGTGTAGGCGTTATAATGCTTCTCTTCCACTAGCTGCGGTATCCCACACACCAAATTCCTCTACTGGGGCGAATCTTTTAAGTGCACCATTAAAGAAATTCACTGAATTAGCATACTGCAAGCTCCTCCACTTGAGATTTACAGTAAAACTATTTTAATTTTGGTATTGCTTCATGGAACAAAAATGTTTCTTTATCTGAACGTAAATGAAACAACCATATGTTGGATTATCTCATTATTAAATTATGGTCAATTATGGTTTCAAATGAGGAATAATCAATACTGAGGACTGATAAATTGTTCATAAGTTACTGAAGAGCAGAATTACTTATTAAAGCAAATTCATTCAAAACACGTAATTTTAATTTTCAACTCTTCAAATCCCTTTACAAGAAAAAGACAGAGAAATATGGAAATACATTTTTCAGCCCATGCTCTTCAGTGAAGTTTCTTTTTGTTCTTATTCTTCCCAGGACAGTAAAGAGACTGTTGCTTTGTTTTTCTTCCCACAAAGATCAATATCTTTTCCTTTCAGCAGAAACTGAAGAAAGCATAACCCCACAAAAGCCATGCTGGTAAAATCAGGTTTGAATAAGAACAGTGGTGGGGCTGGGTGTTGGAGGAGCCCGGGCAGTGCTAGAACACGAGCGTGGACATGAAGGAGGCCAAGTTTACACTTACCTGGCAAGTAACAAAAACAGCTTGAAGAAAGGTGGTGCGGAGTTACTTGCAAAGACGAACTTGCTGTGCTCTTGTTTTTTCTGCTGAGCTGAACTGCTCAGTTAGGGCTTCACTTCTACTTGGTTAAACTGAAAGTCTGAATCTTTCAGTGCCTGCCTTTAAAAAGAAATATGAGACATTCGGTGTATAATGCAACGTCCTTATTGCTAATGCCATCAGGCAATATTTCTTTCACAGAGGGCAGCTGTTGAGTCTATACAAGTCAAGCATGATTGATCATCATCTGTGACAGTCCCTTGTCAAACACTAACAGAAGCCAGTGCAGACACTTCAGCTGAAGAACAGGCCCAGAGAGATCAGGACAACACCGCAAGGAACTTCCTGCACTTTATGGTCTGGTCAGTTTTGCCTTCCTGTCGCTTTAAGATTGTTTTGAAAATATGTATCTCTTGAAAAATGTATTTATTCTTTTCTACAAGCAATAAATCATTAAGTCAACATTGCTCTCACTTTGCAGAGGTGATCCCGATTTGAGGACTTAAAAATCACTAGCCTCCTTGCCAAAAGATTTGTGAATACATTTCAGTGGTTAGAAAAATGGTTGGGAATCAGGACATTTGGTTCTCATCCCAAATTCCTTTAGAGTTTTCTAGGTCTCTAGTCGTGTCATTAACATAATATTCTGGGTCTGCTTTTTCTGGCTTGAAAAAACTTACTCATTTTCCTATATTGTTATCTTGCAGTATACAGAATGGCCCAGAAGCATTTATAGGGTCATTAATACTGTTGCTATAACTACTGTAGCCTGCAGTGCAAAACAGTAATACTTATTAGCACCAGCACCATCGTTGACAAAACACAGACTGACTTTGATGCAATTTGGCTGCCTCAGGGCCTGGATTTAATATTAGCTTTCTATTAATGGAAAAAAAAAAAAAAGAGGAGGGGAGAAAAAAGTTGTTTGTAACTATTCCCTTCTTCCTCCTCCTCCCCCCACAAATTTTGAACGAATTCTCAGGAGATGCACAGCACATTGCTGTCTTTGGGACTGATACCATTGTCACAGTACAGTAATATTTCAAGCATCTGAGTCATAACACCCATTGCTTTAGAGTCATTTAAGAGTGGATTGGAAAAGCCATTCAGACTTACGTTGGGAAGAGCCTATCGTTGGTGGGTGCTGAAAGAGATGACTTAAGGGGTCATTTCTGTCTATGAGTTATGGGATGTACTGACAAGGCCACCATAATCCACTTCTGACTGATGTTTCATGCTGCAAATCTTTCTTAAATCAGCTTATATGAATTATTGAGGCTAGAATTAACATTTTTCAGGAACTGAAATCATCAGGCAATAAAATTATGGCAGATGAACAAAGACTATATTATGTAGACATAATAGGTGAAAAAAACCCAACTCAATGAATATCTACTGTTGCTGAAAAGTGAAATAAAATCATTTGTCAGTGAATGGCAGAATATATTACTATAGACAACTGTGGTTAAAGCCAGTTTAAAATAAGCAGGATGTGACATATAAGCCTACTCTGAAACTGAAAATACAGTTTAAAACCATAACCCTGCTTCTTAAAAGTCTTTGGTCACAAAAGTTTTGCACTGAATATTTCCCATTCAGTCTGAATATGTAATGTAATACATGTGAGGTTTCTTTCACAAGAGATAACATCTTTTTTTTTTGCTACATTTCAGGAATTTGGAGTCCCAGCAGAGGGGTTTTTTTTTAGTTCTTTTACATGTTAGTATCTCCTGTTCTCCCCAGCTCTGCAAACCACAAGGAAAAGGCCACGGTGGGACTCTCACCAGAACTCACCCATGTTGCAGCAGTTGTGCAGAACTCTATGAAGTTGTGGGAAGCTGATGAGATCATGTCTTCTCCCCAGGGCTCAGTATTTTACCTGAAAAATCAAAATGAGGCATTGGCATTAAAAAAAAAGGAGGACTATTTAATTCTTAATCAATTAGCTATTGTATAATATTATTTTTTTTCAGTCCCTCATTCAGCTAACAGTGAAGAGGTTTCTTTGGTAGATGTTTTGTTCCTATAACATCCCCACGCAAATCATACTTATCAAAAAAACCCTTAAATAACATCAAATTTGCATGTAAACACGTCTAAAAATTGACACATTTTTATGTTATTATGCGAACTGAAATGAGAATTTTTTTGCTTATTTGCTTCCAAAATTAAAAAAAAAAAAAGATTAACTTGTGCTGAACTAAACTTTTTATCCTGGCTGGGAGATTGTAGATGAAAATAAAACTGCAGAGGAGTAAATAAATAAAATAAAACAAAACCAAGGAGGAGTTTTAAGAGGAAAAATCTGAAATTAGAAATAGATGCTAATCATTTCTGAAAAATGGTGCAAAAATTAAAATCTCTGCCTATATCTGATCAACCATAGCTTCATCTGGCTCTTGCACGAGACTCTGAAACCCTGAACATCATGACAGCATTATCCAGGTAGAACTGATTCTGTGTCCAGCACAAGGCACCTGAGGCTGTAGAGGACAGTTTCAGGTCAGTTAGGTCTTCTAAGAGCTTAAGACAGTGCTGTATATTATTTTATGCAGAATTGTTCTCATTAAAGTTTGTTTCAGAGAAACTACGTATGCTTCTCACAGCTGTTTGGAGGATAACAATAGTGTCACCCTCAGGAAAATAGCAAGTTTCACAAGCAGAAACCCCGGAGTTGCTCTCTGCTGATAGCTCTGGGTGTCTGGAGGATCAGCGGCTATTTTGCAATTTGCAGTCTCACTTCCCTAAATGACGACTGTAAAACCAGAACTCTACTTAAAAGTCCTGTGTGTGTGCAGTCGCAGCGACAGCGAAGACGGAGAACCTCCTTGCCACTGCCTGCTTGGGCATCTGGGGGCAACCTGGCCCCAGCCAGCATGTGAGAGTCCCCCTGCCCCGAGCACCTGATGCAACTGCTGTAAGGAAGTATAAGAAACTGGGAAGCTCTTTTAGAGGAAGATGGAGAACCCACTTCTTTTATTCCCCCAACTAAACACTTCTGCTTCAAAGGATAAATCCTATTACAAAGTCATGAAATCGACAATTAAAGAAGAGCCGCATAAAGCAAGCAAGGCTGGGTAAGTTTTAAGGTCATGCTGACACTCTGAGTGTTCTCTCTATATAGAGCATTTTCTAATAGAGCTTCTGGGTATGAATTTAGGGTACAGATAATGTTGATTAACATATATGAAAACTCATGAACTACAATACTTGGAATTATGTACATAAAATATTAACTAATTGTGGAAGCCTTTGTTAAGAACAAGAAGCAAATAAAATAATAAACTAGGAAAAAAAGGAAAAGGCAACTTCAAGAAGTTCTGAGAAATCCTTCTTTAAAACCTGAATATAATCCGGGAAAGTTTCTTTTTTAAAAATTTCAAGGGACAGGAAGCAATACTTCCTTTTTGTTTGCAAAACATTAAAAGTAGAAGACGCTGAGCCAATGTTTATGTTCTCTAATGTGAAATTTCACCCCCTCATCTTTAAAATAAATGAAAAAGATACTAAAAATAAAAATATTTCAATTTTTCTGTGTCAGTGCTTCATATACGAATTTATGCTAAGATATAAAGAAAAACATGTTGTGAATAATACATGTAGGAGAAGTAACACCTACATAACTACAAGTGAACACAGGGGGATCTGCATTACAGAAGCAGACTTGCTGGTCAAAGGAAACGTCTGAGAGAATCAAAAACCACAACTTTAAACAAAGTTGCTTGAAAAGCTACCAAATTCTGTTGTAGAGCTAAGCAGAAGAGAAACAGGCTGAGCCTTCTCCTGCAGAAATCCGAATTCCACGAAGGCGATCATGTCGGTAAACCTGGGAACATGACAAAAGCAACAAGGTAAGCGTTATGGAGTCGATGGGGATTCCTTTCAGGAAGTACCTGCGTGACTCAGAACGTTTCCTGCATCTGTGTGTGTGCGTTCAGACTCGGCAGAGGATAACGCTTGCAAGATCTATTTAATACAGAAGTTAGCAATCTGACCCAAGCATACAAACACAATAGAATTGTCTGGTGTGCATCAAGGTAACTCACAGCTGTTTTCACACCACTAAGCGTAGTCTGGTCCCCATACGCTTGCAGATATGTTTAAACCTTTACTCATGCCAACAGAATTTTTATTAGTCCACTGACTACATTGATCAAGCATCAACTCAGAAATGTAGCTGACAGGAGAGTCATACAGTTCCTTGGAATGCAAGTTTTCCAAAGAGTTCTGTGAGGTACAAATGCCAGATGCACATCAAATTGCACAGTTCCTCAATAATTGCAGTAATTGTTTGAACAGTCGTGTCTCTAAAATTCAGATACTGATGCTTGAACGTTGTTGTAATATTGTCCCTGTTATACTATTTCTCATAAAGGTGCAGGGTAGGGTCTTGGTTTTGTTGCCTTCAGTAAGAGTTTAGTTCCTGACTTCAGTGGGGTACCAAGATCTTACTGATCTATGAAGAGTTGCATTTGTAGGACTCAACTGAAAAAAAGGAATGAATAAAGTACTGCAGCTCAGTGGCCTAAAAAATTTGCTACCCCTTGCTTTTCATCACAGATCACTTCAGAGCTTCTTGTGCTCTTTTGTCTTGTTAAACCTGATGAACCTTGTTTAAGCAGTTATCATTTTTGGGACCAAGATGCCTGCTTTGATCAGAAATGCTTCTACAAGCCCTTAGTAATTGTGAACACATGGTAGATATTGTATAAAGGCTCAAGCTCTGTTTCCAGAACACGTGAAAAAGTGGCAAAGAAATGGGTATGTGAACACTTGCACCTTTGCCTCTGGATAATTAGGCAATGTTTATTGCTCACATGTCCAAATATCGTTGCCCATCCAAATGATAGGGTGTACTCACAATCTGGAAGGCTCATGGAGGGTTTCATTACTTTCTGTTTTCCTTCTTTCTTTCTTGTTTTGCTGCTGGCAGAAGCCTTAATTCAATGATTTTACAGGTCGCTCAAAAATACAAGACACTGCAAGGATGAACAAAGCCAGAAAAGTGCTGAGAACATCCTTTTTCCGTTTCTGGGTTGCAGACATGTAGAACTGTGCTAAGATTGCATCTAAAAAAAGAAAGCACAGCCTCTGTGCCACCTGTGTGCAGACAGGGTCGGGTGGCTGATGACTCCTGGGTATTTCATACAAAGTACACGGCCACCCATGCATTCTTTTGAGCTGTGAAAAGGCACTTTCAGAGGCAGATACAACAGCAATATATAATTCTCTGAAGAATGTTCCCTTTTTTACAGATTATCACATCCTCTCTCAGCCAACTGCCTTTTACCACGTTACTCTCAGCCAGGTGCCTGACTGACAGGGACTGTACTGGTCTTGTATAGAAAAGAAATGGATGCTGATCTTTCTATATAGATTAGAGAAAGAGGTGTAAATTATTTTCAGAAAAAAAAAGTCTATTTTTCAAATGATAAACTGAAATAATAGAGATATATCCAGTGATTTACTTAGCTTTTATTATTTCCATTCTTAGCACAGAGATACTGACATGAGTAGAAAGAGAATTTAATGAAGAAGTGCAGATGGACGTGGTAATAGCAGTGACCTGTTAATTAGTTTCTTCTCATCTTTAGAAAGTGGCAAAGCTGAACAAATCCTGCTTTCTGTCTATTACTGCAGCAACTCATTGCTGCACCCAGGTGTTGGGGATCTGTGGGGTTACTGGGCTGATGCAGTTTCAAAGTAAAAATGGAAATTCACTCTAAGAGTTTTCAAACCCAGCAAAGAACGTCCTCAGCACTCCGTGCAGTTGTGGACTGTGTATGTTCTCTGAAGTCATCAGGGTTTAGCTTTCACTATGACCAAATTAATTTCTGTAGCTATAGGAACTCACTGTTCCCAGACTTAAAAGTCCACATAGTTCAGAGAACTGCACTTTTTGTACTTCTCATAACTAAGAAACTCTGTAAGAGAGAGAGGTCTTATTTCCCCTGATTCCAGAATCCCCCTACTTTACAGGCCTATGATCATTTGTTGAATTTCAGTTTTCCAGCATTTGTATCTCTCAAGAACTGTTTGTCTCTCTCAACGACTTCGGCTAGGAGACATGACACCTATTAAAAGAAAAAAAAATCAAACATTTCCTTTTAGTTTTGTGTAAACCCAAGATCATTACGGGCTTAAATTCTTTCCCAAAGTGACTGGAATTCCTTTTCATCTAAAATTCGTGTGCCTACAGGTTTTGCCAAGGGAACCCAAACTATGTGAATCATGCAGTGGAACAGCAAGCCTCAAAAAGGAAGAGGGAATCATATTTCAGACAGGTTCAGTCCATAAGAAGTTGTTCTAACCAACTAACCTTGGACAAGTTGCTTACCGATACTTCCAGTGTAGTGTGTTTTGCTCCTGAATAAAAATGGATCTAAATGTTCCTATTCGTAAAACACCTGATAAAAACTGACTTTCCCTTCAGGCTTGGAATTTAAGTCTTGGTCCTAGCATGATACAGTTCATCTCTGGGCTTACTCCAGTTCTGGTCTACTAAAAATCTAAGTAGTGCCCAGGTGTATGTTCAAGGTTAATCTGTACAAAATCAAAAAGATTTTCTCCAAAATTATATTTGTGTGAAAAGGGGTATTCTTTTGTTCTATTCTGCATTGTTCTCTAGGGCAGAATATTTGAAATCAAAGTAAAATACATGTAACTTGACATATTTGATGAAGAAGATGTGGAGTCGTATAAGTGGAGCACAGTGTCTCATAATAACGTGACATTTGAAAAATATTTGTGGCAAACAAACCAGGCTACATGTGCCATTACTGTGTAAGTCTGTCACCTAAGCCATATGGCTACAACTTTGTCTTCAGGCTATGAATTTCCCATCTTTCATTAAACAGAGACTGGGGTAACACAGCCTCAAACAGTGCATTCAAAACCACATCTCTGCAAGAGTTTTTTCTAAGCTTAAATAGGTGACTGACCTGGTTCCCTTATGAGTTTTACCATCCTGCGTGATGTCAATTCCCCTAAAGATTAGTAGAGCAACACAAATACTGAAGAGAGAAAAATCTCTGCTCTGTTTTTGGGTTGTTTTTTTTCTGTTAATGGTAGAAGAAGTACAATTCTGCAGACAAAATGTCAGAGAAAAATTAAACCAGGTATTTCTGAAGTTCCTAAGGCCATAAGCTTCTTTAGCAATGTGACCTAATCAAAGGTTTTGTGGAGCAGTCCTGAGCAATAATGGTGGCAAATAACACGTCACAACAGCTTCGTAAGCACACAATACACACAATTCTTTTAAACCCCTTTCTGTTTCTCAAGCAGTGTGTCTCCTGAAGAAGCAGTGAAATGGGGAGAATCTTTTGACAAGCTCCTTTCTGAAAAAGGTTGGTAGTTTTTCTCTCTCAATGCAGACTGTTAGGATGGAAAATTGATGGAAAACGATGGAAGATTATAAAATCCAGTTGTGCACTTAAATAGACCTGACAGTTAACTAAACGAGGTATCATGAGTCACAACCACGTTTGGTTCTGCTCTCCACATGTGCTCAGGTTATAACATGCTGTCAACTACTGAAAATAGTTGAAAATAACTTTTAAGTTTTGTATTTTGTTGAACAAAATAATATAACAGACAGCAAAGAGTTCCTTCAACAGATGATAGAATTTCCTTTGAATATTGCTCAAATATTCCTGACTGCAAGATCAAACCTTAAAAATGAATATATGTTCTATGTACTTAGGAAAAAACTTTGTCACTTCTGATACAATTTGTTTCTAAAACGGTGCTTTTCAGATCTGTTCCACAAACAGTTGGCATCAATACGATTGCATTATTTCAGCAGAGTAAGCATACTTGGTAAAGAAAATGTCTTCAGCATAGTAACAACAGGCTAAAGCAAGTTTTAAAGATGCTAAAAGCCATTCACTTTAAATTGTTCCTGGAGAACAGTTTACTTATAAGCAAAGATTCAAATAGTGTTAACCTAAATGGATATTCAGCTGGAATAAAGCCGTCACTTCCACATGTTTTGATTGCTTCTATTTCTAAATTCACAAGATTCTGGTAACAGATTTTTACAGATGCTGAGAATTCTGTAATGGGACTGACAGCACTCAGGATCATAATGAAAGAACTGCACTTATTTTAAAACCTTGAGTATTTTAGAATAATTATCTATAATGTGATGGAATTCAAAGGGAGCATGACCTATCCTGTTACACAGAGTGTGTGGAAAGAGTAACTGTCTGGTAAGGATATGGGTTTTTTTAATGCAATTCAACATTCCCTCCTGTAGCTGGATTGGATGCCTTTACGAAGTTTCTGAAAACTGAGTTCAGCGAGGAGAACATCGAGTTCTGGATAGCTTGCGAGGATTACAAGAAAAGCAAAACTGCGCATGAGCTTTTGCCAAAAGCTAAGACCATCTACGAAACATTCATACAGAAAGATGCTCCAAAAGAGGTACAGTAGAAACATGTTTTGTTGTACACAGTGTTTGACACAACTGCATCGACGAAATCTGCTTTTAAGAAGTGCATGCCCAGAAGCACTGGCAACAGTTAATCATGTAGTCCCTGACGTAAGAAGGCTGAATCTTAAATGTCAAAGCTCTGCAAAGAAAACTGGAAGCAACTGCATAGATTTTTCTCACTGTCCTCCAGACTCCTTTCAATACTTCCCTCCACGTTACTCTTCTAAGTGTAGACCATAAGTTTAAATATTATATAGTCATCTGTAAAGCCAGGGTATGTGTATATATATATAGGGTATATTTAAGAAAAATAAGAGATGTTAAACGTTAAAGCTCCAATGAGACACATCAGCTAGCATCTGTGAGAAAATATGATCTGTCTTTATTAAAGCTGCCTCTAGAACAACAGATATACCCCCCCTTTCTTTTAAACTAGTAATTATCTATTAAATTATCACTTAATTGAGACTCAGAAAATTTTTAAAAAGCCAAAAAAAAAAAAGAGACTAGAAGAAACAAATTAAACATATCCTTAAAAATAATAATAATAATAATAATGTTTTAAGCATGGACTTTTCTTGGTTGATCCCTGCCCACTTTCCACCGCACAGCATGTACACAAAAACACGTCAATCCCAACCAACACTAAGACCTTTTTATATTACTATAATAACGCAAAAAGTTTTCATATTTACAATTTCTTCGTGTTACTGAAACATGTTATAAAGGATTCATAAATAGGCAAAAGTAATACTTTTTGCCTGCTCTAAGAAGGAGATGATGAACTCTCACTGAAATCGCAATCAGCCTCTTGAATAGGTCTTTTGGACTTAACGATTTCCTGTAATTCTATCGAGTTTGAGCAGATCAAATACGTCACTTGCCAATACTCCTTTTCCTCCGTATTATTTTTTTCTTTTTGGTCAGAATAGCAAAAGTTAAACACTAACTGCTACTTCCCTGTAACAACGGTGAAAGAAGTGCAATTCCCACTTTAGGAGGAGGACTACAAAATGGTGTAATTTCCCCCTGTAATTCCCACGGATTACATTTAAGATTTAGATCTGTTTTTCCTAGGAAATGTCCACTTTGAAAGACTTAGGGCCCTTTTTATTTCTTTCCCTTCTGCATGTCTTTGGGGCAGACCTTACAAAAAAAGAAATCCCCGGAGTTGTTTGAGGTAGAACCTGTCACAGCCAATGGCTCGGTGTCTGAGCAGTCATGGTAGGGCATCAAGCGCCCATCGTGTCAACGCTTTAAACAAAAAGATCTGCAGGAGGAAAGCTAGGGAGGCAACAGGGCACGGAAGTCATACTTTAACTAACAGTAATGTAACAACTTCTTTATTTGTCATTTCTTTTGATCTGCCACACGTGGTGTGGGTGCTGTCGTTCAAGTCAAGCAGCTGGCTCTTTGGCGAGACGTTCTTGGGTTCGGTTGGGCAACGTCTCGTTTCAGACCGTGCAGGTCTGGAACTTGCATCTTCTCTCTGACTAACATCTTGTGCAGCAAAGCTTTTTTACACATAAATTTCTGAGCATACAGTTTGGCAGGATGATGATGATGAAATTGCCCTTCAGTTCTTAAATCTGAACTATTTCTTTTAACTAGCTTTATGGAAATGACAGGTGTATCTCAGTGGGGGAGAAAAAGTATATCATAGAAACCACTTTTTGATTGGATCAATAAATATTTTTGTATTATTCTCTTGTTTTTCAAAATAGGATGCTCAAATCAGTGCCTGACACTTTAATAAAACCCTCATACTAATTTAATCTTTCCAGGATGAATGCAGCAGTACATGGAATAAATGATTATTTTTATATGCTTTTCCCATCTAAAGCCTCCAGAAACGCAACAAAACAATTTTTATATTTTAATTATCAGAGCTTTCTCACCTTCTTACTACCAAAACCGCACACAGAGACCAGAAATTTTAAATATTCGCTAAAATAGTCTAATGAGACCAAGTTCTGCATGACTCTCAAATGAGAATACGATATTAGTCTGGTCTTGCAAAGCCTGCCAGCTGCAAATCTAGGAAGATAGATCACTGTTAGAAAGTTACTTTTAATCAAACATCAAAGTTTATCTTCTGTTTTACCACTTTTCCATCGTACCAGTGACAAATCTGTGAAGAATTTCTGACAGCTATTGCTGAACACGAACTAGTTCTGTGGTATTAAAATCTTGTTGTATGAGGGGTTCAAGGCCTCCGTATCAGAAAAGACTTTCACCAAAGTGCAGATCCATTGCTGTGGATAGTAACGCAGGAAATGCACGAATATACATTAAAGAAATATGCTTTTCCTTATTCTCCAGGTGAATTTGGACTTCCAAACCAAAGAAGTCACAAGTCAGAATATTGAACAGCCCATCATCACCACCTTTGATGCAGCACAAAACACCGTCTACAGGCTGATGGAGCAAGACAGCTACCCACGCTTCCTGAGATCTGACCCTTATTTAAATTTGGTTAAGGGGAGAAATCCCAGTCGTCCTGCCCTTCGGAGACGATCGCGGTCTTTTACTGTCAATGATTTCAAGGGTGTACGACCGGATTTTACTGTTTGGTAACAGCGAAACTCAACTCTCATAAATTCTAGCTAGTGCAGCAACTTGTATGTTTTAAAATCCAAATCCTTAATAGCTGTAAATAAGTGGAAAGCAAAGTTACATGCACTTATACCAGGTCTGAATTCTGTAGCCAGTGTTTAATCTCATTTATTGTAGAGAAGCTGGCAACATACTGGCAAGACATACCATGTAAAGTTTTCATACAGTGGTTCTTTTAAACAGGAGTTTCCTGCATAAATGTCATCTGATAACATCCACCATGTATCCTGGGCCTGTATTATTTAGGACAGAGTTTCATCACAGTTAGAATCTATGTACCTAAACCTTTGCACATATGTATATTTCTGCAATACTTTCTACACTAAGCACAGAGTAGTTGTATTTTCTCGTACTGCAAAACACATAGGAACATTATTAGGTATAGCATAAAGCTACGCGGATTTTAACTACAGCCACTGCACAATTAAACTTTATTGCATATTTTAAGAGGAACATGACAATATCTATTTAATTTTGGGGGGTACATTTTGTACTGTTTTCTTATTAAATATGTCTGTTCTCTGCATTTAAGTTATGCTGTATAGATTAGCTTTGCTATCAAATACTTGTATTCTAATTTTTGGTGCCCAAATGAAGAGCAACAAAGGACCAAGAATGCTATTTTAACACAATGCCATTAAATATCAGGTCATATGTACATATATGTATATAATGTTTCTATTTTTAATTGTAAATATTCATGGTATGTCAACTTTGTTACTAAACTTTATTATTTTTTTCTTCCTTTTTTTTGTTCAAAAAGAATCTTAAAATTAAGAGCTGTTAGACTCAGGTAGAATAGACTTAATTTCTAATGGTCATTAATATACTCTGTAGTTATACAGGAGGAAGAAGAAATATTTCCTTTTATTTTTTTACTACTGAAATCACATATATCATTTTCATGGTCAGTATACATAGTTATGCTGTCTTTTTCTTGCAGAATTGTTTAGCATGTGGCTGCAGGATTTAGCTGTAACCATGACTTGTACGTTCAGTCACCTTGCACAGAGTTTAACCTTTGTCCCTTTTCTTTCCCTCTCTGTCGGTGGTCAGAAGGAAGAGGTGCAGTTCCCGAGGATGGGACTTTATGTTCATTACTAATTCATGGGTTTCGTGGCTGCTTTTACTAACTTTCAATAAATCTGAAGTGATCTACTCTAAAAAGTTGTCAGGATTCAGTTTATTGCTGGTACATTGATGAGTAAAACGTGAAGACTTTGCTTAAATTCAATACTAGCTGTAATCATTGCCATTTCAATCAAAAGTGCTGCCGCTCAGAGACCCGAACTCGCCACAGGCACGTGGGAAGTGCTTTACCTGGGCAATAGGCAGGTAACACATCTGTAACCATGAGGAGCATGATCCTTGCTGGTTTATTCCGTTATCCTTCCCTGATCCCCAAACTCTTAGCACATGCTATTTCTAACTCTGTAAGCAGTCAGAAGGAGGGCACAGTGATTTGGAACAAATCAAATGTTTTAGTAACATTGCATTTCAGTCTTTATCAACATCAAATGCAGCTTTGGAACTTGTCAGCCTCTGTTTTTTACAAACTGGCCACGCTCCTGTTGTGGTCACAGGAATGAGTGAATGCAGTGAAAGGCAACTTTCTAATCCAATTTCACTGCAGAAGTGTATTTTTCCGGATAGACTGTTTGCCATAAAATAAACACAAACCAACTCTGCCAGAATCCTGTTTCTGATTAGAGAATCTCTAATATCACTAAAAGTGTCTGAATGCCAGAGTTCTCAGATATTTTAAATATGCCTGTTCCTATGTTTTGTATTACTTAGAGAAAGCGAACAGACTTGAGAACAGACCCACCCGAGCATTAACAGTAGGTCTTTTGCAATGCAGGCCTAAGCCCCATGCATTTGCAGCTAGATCCTCCCCTGGTGTGACGATGTTCATACCAGCTGAGAATCCACACCTTCACTCTTGCCGTGGATGAAATAAATGGAAAAAAATATGTGTATATTTAATATTGTTCCAAAGTCCAAACAAATGACAAATATAGTATCTTGAGTAAGATTTTTTTCTTCTTACCAAAAAACAGCTGTTAGTCAAGAGGGTCTGTAATGATAAATCTAAGTCGGCAGGCGCCCTTTGTTTCATTTCACATACACATGGAAAATTTTGCTTATCTCCAGGGAGACCTTCCTCAAAACCGACAGTCTGGTACTGACAGCGCTAGTCCCTCTTAGGAGTTTTATAATGAAAACAAACAAATAAGATATTCCTGGTAGCTATTTATGCATGTATGTTTTTCAAAGATAATTAGCTGAATTTACAGCAGACTAATGCCATGGGAACTACTGTAAAAAGAAAGTCGAGATAAATTCAGAGAAAGGAAGGCAAAGGGCACAAAGATAAACTAAAATGACATAATTATCTGGCAAAAGGTTTTTTTTCTAGAAGAGGCTCCGGTTAGTAAGAGAAAATGAGTGCTCTCCAATTTAATGCCCTGCTGTAATTCTGGAAGATGAATAAAGCTTGGGTTAGTACAAGTCTGAGATGCTGTTCCAGGATTGAGTTAGACAGGATTGATCAGACTAAGAGCTAGCCCTGCACCTTAGAGTAGTGCCAGAGAATACAGTCAGGCTTCTCTAGTTTTGGCAGAATCAATGCCATAGTTACATAAATCTTGTTTAGCTGACCTAGTACAAATAATACATGTACAAAGCCTGTTGGGTGAATATTTTTATTGGGGGTTATTTTATGTAGCAGCTTTTTAGATTTGTATGTGCCATTCAGTAGGAACTCTTAAAATACTCCTCTTACCCACACAATAATTTACGTTACGCAAACCACTTTAGTCCTTACACACATGAAGTCTCCAGACTCCAAGTACGAGGGAAATAATTTGCTGAATTGTATAGCACAAAGGTTTGTCTACTGTTTCAATACTTAAGGTCTAATTAGATGCTTTAAATTAGCTGAATTACTATCTACTGTTCTGGTTTAACTAGAGGGAGGTGGAAATACACATATAAACCTATTGTCCTCGGCTTTCACGATTTATTATTTTGCAAAGACAACTTGATTATTTACTTGACAAGAAACAAGATGAATGAAATATAAGATAAAAAATCTCAAAGAAAAAGATAGATTTCTATCTTTCACTAAAGTAGATGATCAGTAATATGGCTCTTACGTGCCTTTACATGCTAGAACTTATGTGACTCACAAAAGGCAGATCTTTTTCTCTCCTTTTTGTCCCCAGCTGTTCAGCCTGCCTTAATTAACTACTGCTTTGAATGCAGTTCCCTCTCCTTTCCATGCATACTGTCAAAAGATTGAGAAAAAAAACATTGCCTAAAATCTTCTTCCTCTCTTCGGTGATTCATATGCTCATAAACTTCTGCCTTGCTCAGATGCCTGTCCTAGATCCTGCTGTGTTTTTTGCATTTTAGTCAAATGCCTCAATCAAATACCCTTTAAGCTCCTGTGTGGCTCTGTGCCAAAGATAAAAATGTATCTCCTCTATACACCATCCAGCTGCTTCCATACTTACTTTTTTCTTGCTCATGTCTTGTTGTCATCTTCCATTTTTTGTACTGATTGTTTACAGCTGGTCTCAGAAAAGCTCTCTTTGGTTTTATATCAAAACTTTTCTCTCTTCTTTCCTAAATGGCATCTGTTTACATAATCTCCTCCTAAGTCACCTTACAAGAGATTCTCTAAATGCCAAAATTTACAATCTAGCCTCTATTGTTGCCTTCTCTGTAAAATGTAGCTAAAATTACCTAGCATGAAATACAATCCTATGCAAGTTGATTCAGAGTTTTCAAACAGGACCGATTAAGCTGAAGCCTAACCTAAGGACAACCCTGACCTGTTGTTTCTTCACCAGGCAACTTGCTTCTATTTTAGAAACTCTTGTTTCTTCCCAGCTTTCCAGACTCATTTTAAAATTCTGCAGTTAATACTATTCCAGTTTTTCTTTAAGGAAGAGAAGGCTTCTAACGATTACATCCTCATGTGGACTGTCCCCCTGCAGGGACTCAGTAGGAACTCTCCCACATCATATACAGACTTTTCCCAGCTTACTTGGGTATGGCCACACTGGAGAAGTCAGAGTCCAGGAGTCATTTACAAAAAGAGGTAACCAAGGACATTGGTGTATTGGGTTTCCCTCTCATTCATTCCTAGCACAGCTTGGCTTGGGGCAGACCACCCACAAGGCATGACTCAAGAGACAACTGATATAGGGAATTATGGCTCAAGAGCTACCTTTTGCATATTCTTGCATTGGTGCAGTTAACACCAGAACATCATAATAGGATCTGTCTGTGCTATGTAGGCTCCCTGTATGAAGTTTTGTGAAGTCTGATGCTACGTAAATAACAGCATATTCTTTCAGGACATGAGCTTGGCAAATAGTCTGTTGATTAGTACTAAATGAGAGTATTCAGGGTTGCACACCTTCTTTAGAACTGTTTCCAGTTCTCTTCTAATGTTCTTCTCTTCTGTTTGTATGGAACTTTGAAATCCTGTTATTAGGAGCCCAGAATGCTACAAAACATTTTGACAGGTTGTTCTTGAAATCAAAACATTTTACCTGAAGGGCATACTTTGCTTGGGTGGAAAATAACAGCTCATTTTCTTATGCAAAACAACTCTGTGGCATGCTGAAGACAGAGTTATTCATATGGAAAAAAAAAAAAAAATTTTGTGAGTTGACCATGCTGTGCGGTGCTACTGGAAAGTAGGCATTTACATAGTGCTGTGATTAAAATATATTTGCATCCCCTGTGACAGGCGTTTCCATGTTACTAGGATGCCGGCAGTGCTCAGATCATCCTGGCTTCTCCCAACGTAAGAAATGTAGTCAAGTCTGTGTCTGCTTGAATTGCTTGGACCAGCAGAACATCAACTTTTTTTCTTTTTCTGCTGTGGTTACACTGTACAAGACAACACTATCCAAGCAATCCTGGGTATGGAATGAATTTAACAGAGGCCAAGTGCTGAAGGG